CGACAATAGTCCGAATAATGTAAATTATATTTTAATTGTAAAAATCCTTGATTCCATTGGTGCATTTGAATTAAAAAAAATAAAAACTTGTAATACCAATGGATAATTTATTGTTAAAACAGATATTTATAAATGTAAAAGACAATAGGAAAACTAATAGTTACCGTCGCGTTTCGTCCGATGTGGACTTTTTCAAGGCAAAATACGAAATGAATTTATCAAACAAAGTAAAAAAAAAAGTCCACATTGGACAAAACGCGTCGGCAACTATTACAGTTTTCCTATTGTCTTTTACATTTATAAATATTGTCTTTTTCTACAGGTTAACGCTGAGAAATTTTTAAAAAAATGATATTGCTTTTGCAATCCTTGATCACTCTTGAGAAATTTTTTTGGCCTTGTGCCGTAATTGTGTATTTTGCACAATAAATAAACATTGACTAAACTACATTGTATACGTTATAAATTCAAATTAACAACAAAAAAAATTCGATCGAATTGAGTATACGAGACATGCGTCAGCTGAAAGTGTGAGAATTGTTTAAAGAAAGAAATGTCATTTCCAAACCAGAGTAGAAAAAAATCTCCTAGTTTTTTTCGTATTTTCCGTTGAAGTAGGGAAGTCCATCGTTTTTTTTTTTTTTAATCTTTTCCATGTTTGTGCATTTAAAATACAGTGTAACCCGGATATAAGAGACCCGGATATAAGAGAAACCCGGATATAAGAGAAACCCGGATATAAGAGAAACCCGGATATAAGACAGATTTTCTCTAGTCCCAAATTAGAGCCTGTGTTAATGTATATAGAATAGACCAAACCCGGATATAAGAGAAACCCGGATATAAGAGACTTCTTCTCCGGTCCCGACAACTCTCTTATATCCGCGCTACACTGTATAATGTAACTAAGAAGTATATATTTAAAGAGAGAAATAAACTAAAGGAACGCATATTGTGATAACTGTAATAACAATCATTTAATCGCCATTTAAAATCCTATCAGTGTTACATTACTTTTGAAACAGCAATTATGGGACACTGAATTAATTTTCTCTTTAGAATTAATTTTCTCTCTAACAAATGCTACAAGGCGCCATTTCTGTCATTCTTTATCGTTTCATTTGGTCTTCCATCTTAATCCTTTGAGTCCTGCGTTCCTGAACAATTTTAACCTTTCTGTCTGAACTCCTGACTCAAAATTCGCAAATAATTCGTATGTAATGTTTCATGGTAGATACAAAAATAGTTACAAAAAATACAACTTCCTGATTGCTTCCCTGGCGGTCCAGGTTGAGACTCTGCACGCTTCATAGTAAAAACGATCTTAATATTAGAACAACAAAAATAATATAAAAAAGGGTGCTTAACCCTTTAAGCCATGTGTTCCTGGACAATTTTAACCCTTCTGCCTGAGCTCCTGACTCAAAACTCGCAAATAATTAGTATGTAATGTTTCATGGTAGATATAATAATAGTTACAAAAAATATAACTTCCTGGTTGCATCTCTGACGGTCCAGGTTGAGACTCTGCACGCTTCATGGTAAAAAAGATCTTTTATTTATCCAAAACACATGCACAAAACAATGAAAAGGCGCGGACATGTTGGTATAACGCTTGAATTTTCATCAGAATATAACGGCTTTTTTGATTGGCTCTTCAAAATAAGCCAATCAATAGCAAAACACGACACAAGTGTTTACACACCATTCAACCGGTGGCTGAGCATTATGTCATTTTTCTCTACCACTGGTAAAGCGGTGGTCTGGGCTCAAAAGTTTAAATTACCACTTATGGTTGATCTTATTTAGCCGAGTGATAAAAAGTTTTAATTTTACTTTGTTAAATGTATTCTTTAAAAAATAAAGTACAATTACATTTTATTCAGTTATATATTTACCAATATTGGCAATAACTTGTTGGCACTTATCAGGCAGTTGCAAAGATAGATTTCAAGTAAAACTCTAGAAGTTTTAATGTGAAAAAAATTTGAAGACTGATTGATTCGTTTTCGACGGCTTATCAACCCTTTCAAGGTTATTTAAAGACAGAAAATGTTTTTAGATCGTAAGATTATTTTTGGAGATAATAATGGTTTTAGTGATACAAGTCTTACTAATTAACCCATAGCTGGGGTAGATGAGGTGGATTTCATATTTTTCTCAATGATATTTGTGCGTAAGTGAATATTATGAAGCCTACTGGAATTAGAACTCGGTACCTCAATTAACAATCCCAAGTCATTAAACATTACACCACTCGCACATCCTATCTTACAGCACTTATTATTCTGAAGCGGTAACCCATCTAAGTATGAGCAGGCTCGATGTGTCTTCATTTTGGTGGCTGTACGGGATCTGGTGTTTCAGTGTGATATGACCGTAAACCCTGTTTTGTATGGCTACTGGATTTAATGAGAACGGCCGCCGCCAAAAAAAAACAAAACAAAAAAAAAAACACTCGTTATTTGTATGCCACCTGAACATGTGTCTTTGTTTGAATATTGTTTAGGGATTTAACTTTAAAAGAAAAGCATTATACCAACAAGTTCTTCACTCTCTTTAAAACAAATGTGTGTAGTTTTACGGAATTGTGGGCTTCAAGACTGGGGCTAATTAGACTGTAGTATTTGCAATCTTCTTCATTACTTATCAGAAATAAATCAGTCGCCATAGTTAAGATTAAAGGATTTAGTGACAGTTTTGATTGCCCACAGTCAATGAAGTTGACGCCAAATACAAATAATTTCAAATTCTAAATTCCATATATTTTGAAAGTATTATTAAAAATGTCAAGAAAGTTCACACCAGAGAAAATTCTCAAAGGACAACGAAGAAAAGCCAAAATATCACTTTGTCCAAAGAAAATTTTAAAGCTTGAATATTTATACCAAGCCAGTGGAATAATGGATAGCGGCTCGGATTGAGGAATCGGAGAGCCGAGTTCGAATTCCAGTCGTATCCATTACATTCACTTACGTACTAATACCCTTGGGAAAGGTATGAATCCTCTTCTTCTCCCCACACCCCATGAGTAAATAGCAGTACAGACCAGGTTCTATAGCTATGGGTGGCAACTGGTCCAACTCAGAAAGAAATGGCAACCTACTGCAGAAAAAATCTGCCTCGTCAGTCAATGGCACATAACTGACTAATACCTCAAAATGTGCGCATTGTTAGGAGGTGAATGATCCCGTGGGGGAAACCAAACTTTCAACGTGATAGGGTCGTAAGCCTTTGACGAACTCTTGAATCCGATTTTCATTAAAGAAGATTTTCCCTATCAAAGCGTTTTGCAGTAATCGAAAAAGGTAATAATCTTTTGGTGCAAGTTCCGATGAATATGGCGTGGAACAGAGCAACGGAGTTCCAGAATTATTTCCTGCTATATGAAAAGATCAAAAAAGGTAATAATTGGTTGGTGATTATGGCGGCTGACGTAGAACGGACCAACCGAGTTCCAGAAGTCTTTCTTGTTGTTTGCGGCCTAGTGTAGCCCCGTATTCGAACAACATTTTCCCCTTTAATCCACTGTGTAGGCTGCCACTGACGTCAAAAACTAAGGGATGTGAGTGTACACTAAATTCATTCTTGACTGCCACGCGTACTTGAAATTTTATTTCCTTTTTATTGTTTTTGTTTTGACTAATGTTCACTCAATACAAGGCCCAAGAGCCACTCAAGGTAGAGGGTTACTATTATTGGAGTTTTACTGAGCAGAATTTCAGACTACAGGCGAAGACGTCAGTATTATAAATTTGAAGGAACTGGAAACCAAATCCTAATCAAGAAACAAATGACAAACCTCTACTTTTTTAAAAGGAGGAGTATGAACCGGACGATAGACGAACCTACACTACCACTAGTAGTTAGGACGATATGTTCATCAACTGGTTCCTAGAAATAAAAATTAATTATAACTCAACCTAACTCATCTCCTGTAAAGTCACCAGTCCTGTTATCTATTTGGGTTGTTGGAGCCCCACACATACAAATTCACATATATACCACACATGATCTATACAGCTGTAGCAGCAGTTATTTGCAGAGAGCATGATGGCCTGACGGAGCCCATCCCTCTTCAGATTGGTCTTAACTTTTTGTTTGAATTCAGTTTTTTCGCCTCCTAGACTGGTTGCGAGATAAAGAAAAGAGAGCTCAGCTAGTCCTAAAGTTTAACCCATAGATGGAGGGAGAAAAGGTGGATTCATACATTTCGCAGGCGAACGTATCGAACTCAGCCGGAATTCACCGAATTCTCTTTCCGAGCAACTAACCGTTACTCTCCCCCACACATCTCTCATTAACGCCAGCATTAATCCCTGGCTACTGGCTACTCACATGCACAACGTGCTGACTGGTTGCTTACATTTTTATCCTACTCGTGATAGCACAGATTACAAAACCATTTTACTTAATACTTATAATTTATTTATTAACTATATATTTTACAAGAAATGAATATGAGAGGTAAGCGTTTAGGATCAGGTTTTATTTAAAATTCGATATGGGCACCAGATTTCGCTACCAGCTTCTCGAGCCGCCCATGAATAGCGTCAACTGATTTCACCAGGAACTCTTGTAGTATGGAAGACAACATTCGCCCTTAAAGCTCTCCAAAGGTCTTCGTTTGCTGTTATAGTAGAATTGCTCTTTTAACCAACCCTAAAGTAAAAAAGTGTTAAGTCAGGACTCCGGGTTGGTCACTCATAAAATAAGGAGTTACTTTTCAATCGTCCTGTATATCGAAATACGATGAAAAAAAATTTTAAAAAGCGGTTAATTTTGATGTTATTTTTGGTTATGTTAGAACTGTGTCTTTAGCCTGTTTGGTAAACGACGTGACTCTCTGGCCTGGCTAAATAAGCAAGAGCCCAAGCCTTGTAGGCAGAATACTCACGTTTCAGTGTTGACTATACCAGAAGTTGAGGTCGGGTTGGTATGGGGCATTTGTTTCGATGAACGGTATGCAAACTATCTGGCTGGTCAGCTGAAAGAAACGTTTACTTTAGTCTGATTGCTATGACAACCAAGCCGGTTAAGAGCGATAAGACTCTGGTCAGCTGGGGATTGTAGGAAGGAAGGGAGGAGGGAAGGAGAGAAAAAAAAAGAGGAGGGAGGAGGAGGAGGTGTAATAGTGGAGAATGGATGCAGAAGGTCAAAGAAAGAAAGAAAGAAAGAAGAACGGAATGAAAGGAATGGAAAGAGAAATAGACAGATAGAAAGAAAGAGAAGAAAGAAACCTTATAAGACGGCATAATAAAGATAGAAACTTTATAAGATGGTATAAGAAAGAAAGAAACTTTAAAAGACAGTATAAAAAAAGATAGAAACTTTAAAAGACAGTATAAAAAAAGATAGAAACTTTATAAGACGGTATAAGAAAGATAGAAACTTTATAAGACCGTATAAGAAAGAAAGAAAATTTATAAGACCGTATAAGAAAGACAGAAACTTTATAAGACGGTATAAAAAAGATAGAAACTTTATAAGACGGTATAAAAAAGAAAGAAAATTTATAAGACGGTATAAGAAAGATAGAAACTTTATAAGACGGTATAAAAAGAAAGAAAATTTATAAGACCGTATAAGAAAGACAGAAACTTTATAAGATGGTATGAAAAAGAAAGAAAATTTATAAGACCGTATAAGAAAGATAGAAACTTTATAAGACGGTATAAAAAAGATAGAAACTTTATAAAACGGTATAAGAAAGATAGAAAATTTATAAGACGTTATAAAAAAGAAAGAAAATTTATAAGACCATATAAGAAAGATAGAAACTTTAAAAGACAGTATAAAAAAGATAGAAAATTTATAAGACGGTATAAAAAAGAAAGAAAATTTATAAGACCGTATAAGAAAGACAGAAACTTTATAAGATGGTATAAAAAAGATAGAAACTTTATAAGACGGTATAAGAAAGATAGAAAATTTATAAGAAATAAAGAAAGCGTATAAGAAAAAAGAAAGAAAGAAAGAAAGAAAGACAGACAGACAGAAACTAAGCGAACCACCCGCATTCCTTTCGTATTCCATCGGTGAGACGTAAGTTCCACTCGAACAGTTTCTTCCCACGAACCACTGCTCTGTAGAATCGACTTCTAAGAGGATGTTTCCCCGATCACTACAATCTTAACGCGTTAACCGTTTATCTTCCACTCCTATCCGCCCAAATTCCCTCCTAACGTAACCCTCTATCTCGTGCGACCCACGAGCCTTGTAAAGGGTGAACCTTACTATAAAATAAAATAAGGAAAGAAAGAAGGAAGAAAGAAGAAAGTAAGAGAGAAAGACAATGAAATCTCTCGTCCTTTCTTTGTTGTCATTTTCATATGCTTTCCTTTCGTTGTCTTTTCTCATTTTTATTTCCTTTCTCTTCTTTCTCCATGTTTACACGTAAGAAAGATGAAAATGAAAGAAACCGAATGAAAACAGAGGAAGTTACATTTCAAGGAATAGAAAATGTCATAGAAGAGAAATAAAAACAGGGGAGAGAGAGAGAGAGCGAGAGAGAGAGAGACGGATAAAATAAGGGAGAAGAGTGGCGAGAAAGAAAAGGATAAAAGATAAACGGAATAAGAGTGAAAGTGTAAAAACACAAGAGTCAAGAAAATCTACAAGAAAAAGAAAGAGATTGAGAGAAAGAGAGAGATAAATTCTAGAACAAAAAATAAAGAAAAAAAAGTAAAAGTAACAGACGAAATCTACAAGAAAGAATAGAACAGAAAATACGATGGCGAGAGAGGAAAAAAAAGATATGAGACAGAAGGGGTTAAAAAAATTACGTGTGTATAGGGAACAAAGATGGCGGATCAAGGCAAGGTAAAATAGGATCGAATAACCTAAAAACGTTATCAGTAGAAACCCTTAATACTGACGTCAGAAACTGTTGTCGCAAACATTGCAGACAGGAGCAAGCTTTGACTCCTGAAACTTCTGGCACCCCGAGGTATGATTTAGAGGGGCTTCGAATTCCTTAGACATGTCTTCAGCTACATTCAGTAACCTCGTCCTTGTGGCAGACGACTAGAATATTGAATTTCAAAACTTGTTTATAATTACTTTGATATAATTCTAAGTAGGTCGGAACCTTAAAATACCATGACTATTTTTGGGATATTGGTTTATCTTTGTTTCGTAATGATAGTTTTAAATAAATTCAAATTTTCGTGAAATAATCCTTATTTGGTAGGTTCGTTCACACTGATAAAAAGCAAGTATCAGTAGTATTTAGGAGGGCGTAACGGTCGGGTGAACGAAGGAACTAACTAAGGACAGGAGGCAAAGACAATCAGAATTTTAATTGAGTTCTTTTTGGGAAATCATAGAAAGAAAGAAAGAAAGAAAGAAAGAAAATAAAGAGGAGGAAAAAAGAATGAACGAAAAGAATGTAGAGAGAGTGCGATAAAGAAGAAGAAAAAAGACGAAGAAAAAAACGAGAAAAACAAATGAAAGAAAGAAAAAACGACGTCGAAAGGAAAGCATGCGAAATTTACAAGAAAGAAAGTAACGAACGAAGAAAGGAAGGAAGAAAGAATAAAAAGATTTTCTTTGTCGTCTTTTTTCATCTTTCTCTCTCTCTCTTTTTTTTCTTTATATTCCTTCCTTGTTTTCCTTTTTTCCCGCGAATTTATTCATTTTTCTCTTTATTCTTTCTCTCATTTCTCGGTTTTGTTTTCTTCATTTTCTTCTTTTACCTTTGTCCATTCTTTTCCTTTGTTTTTGTTTTGCCTTTTTCACTTCATTCATATTTTCTTTCTTAATTATTGGGGCACCTCGACGTGGTGTAATGCTTAACAAGCTCGTCTCACTAGAACAATTACGACTGAGCAGTGAGTTTGATCTTTGATTGGTGCTTCACACTTTTGGCCTTGTGCCACATCTAAGCTACACTTGGAAAACCACCTTATTGTTCTCTTATTTTTACCTAATCTTTCTTCCTTTCGCAATATATTTCTTTTCTATATCTTTGTTTTACTGCTTTCTTATACATTCTATTCTTTTCTTTTACTGTTCGCTATTTTTTTCTTTCTGATAACGTCTTTTTATTGCAGTTCTTTCTGGAAGATATTGAGAAAACTATTAAGTTAGAGCAATGATGGTCGATTTTTTAGTGTCATTTTAATTTTAGATTGATACAAATTTTATAACACGATGTTTAAAAAAATAAAAGTGACTATATATTTGCCTTTTATTATCTGTAGAAGACCCGGTGGGTTTGAGTGTTGTTGAATTAGAAACACGTGCTGTTTATTCCTGCTAGAAGAAGGTCCGACTACAAGAAAATGGCGGACTCAAGTTGAGTTCAACCGAAGATGTAAAGAAAAGAAACAAGACCGAAATATACATGTCAACAAATATATGTTGTTAAGGGACCTTACCCATAATAACATAATGGACTATTCCATACGTAATAAATATTCCGCCTCAAGAGGAAGCAGAGAGTTCAGTCCGAAGTCGGGCGACCGGCTGATCGGCTGATCGGTTGAACTATCTGCCTTCGGGCGGGGAGGAACCCGAACGAGGCATCACCAAAGGGCGGAGTCTCTTTCGGGGTGGTAAACCGACCCTGAACCCGTTTATACGAGTTCAAAGGGTATATTTATGGCCGAGCCCACGGGCTCAGAGATCCCACGGGCTCGGAGATCCCACGAGCTCGGAGATCTCACGTTAAACTGGCCTTGTGCCACATGATGCCCTCGTGGGGGGGTGACTAAAAACCGTTCATTCCGAAGTCGGACGACCGATTGACCGGCTGATCGGTTGAACTCTCTGCTTTCGGGCGGGGAGGAACCCGAACCCTACGTCGAAGGGCGGAGTCTCTTTCAGGGAGGTAAACCGACCCTGAACCCGTTTATACGGGTTCAAAGGGCATATTTTTGTCCGAGCTCACTGTCTCGGAGATCCCACGTTAAACCGGCCTTGTGCCACATGATGCCCTTGTGGGGGGATGACTAAATACTGTTCAGTCTGAAGTCTGGAGTGAAGTCAGTCAGAGCGAGCGAGTCCGTCACTCGAGTCAGAGGTAGTCCGAACAAAGTCGCGTTCAGACAATTACTACTAAACCTGATTGTTCGTACTAACACTTTCTACTTTAAACTCTGTATATATTCCTGTTTGTAATATATCTGTGTTATTCCATATCCGTGTTCGAGTTCTTCCTTATTGGTTCTACCTTGGACTATCACCGTGGTACAAGGAACCGGACCATAACATATGTATTAAATAACAAATTTACAAGTGACAAAGGCATTAACATTTGTGTTTGTGTGTGGACGTAAAGAGTTTCTATTTTGGTGAATTTTCGTACGTACGTGTATATGTGTATAATGTTCACGGCGTCTCCCACAAATGAGAAGACGCTATCTTGTGCGGGAGCTTACATTTTTAAATGTGTCCGCTGAAATGCAAAGTGAAAAAGAGAACGAGGCGAGAAGTCGCCAAGTATTTATAGTGTCGAGAGAGCGACCCGTAGTGAATAATTAAGGAATTAAGGAGAAGCTTACTCGGACATATCTATACGTTCAGTTCATACTTTTTGAGAATTGCTTGCGGAAAGTAGTAATGTATTTTAGTGTAAACCAAGACTGACTATAGAATGCATTTTTGATATTGTTTAATCTGAGCAAAGAGTGCATCAGAATCAAGACTTGTAGCACTAAGATTGGGACCCAAATAAAAAAAAGTCGATGGTGATTGATTTTATCTTGCTGTTTCGTGTTTTATGACAAGCGATAGAGTTTGTAAGATGGAGCCTTCAGGGCTCCCAAGAAAATAATATATAAATAAATGAAAACTTTTGGGGTCAAGTGACAACAAAGTGAGAAATTCCGGTTGCGGATCTATATTAAGAATCAATACACCGGAGAAGATTGTTCTCATCCCACTTTCCATGCTCAGGCGATATTTCATCTCAAAATTTTATTGAGTACAATGAAGAAGGCACAACGACCGAAACGTTGTGAATATAAACAACAACGATGAACATGCTGACTCGAATATCACACCAGATAATAATGATAATTCCTCTCCTCGAAAATTCCGATCAAAAGAAACGCTTCATAGGTTTGAAAGTACACCCCTGGGACCCAAGGGCTACTCCACCACCACCACCACTACTACTACTACTACGTGCAGCCATTTCATTGGATAATTGAAGGCATCAAAAAAGATATTAAACTGTTGGCATTCAAAATAGATACCTACATATGAAACCTGGGAGCCCTTTGATGTGGATCGATATTAAGCTAGCCCTATTTACAATGCGCGACTCACTATTGTATTTGTTCACTAAATACAAATATGATTAATAAATATCCTCGTCTATACAAAACTGAATGATTGCTGAGCCCAAGTAACCAAATGAAACGAACACGAATTCACTTGTACTATGCACATTGAATTCCCACACGTAGTGGAAAAGAAAAAAAAAACAGGTTATCTTGGAAAAACACGTGATGATTAAATGATAACTTCCAGACGATACAAGCGGCTGAGACTAATTCTGACCAAAATCTTAATTGGAATCTTCGTAGGTATCTAGTAAATCTATTAGTCAAAACATTTGAAAGGCGTTCTACGTATGTGTATGCGTGATTATGTGTGTGTGTGCGCGCGCAAGCAAATATGTATGTATGTATTTATATATATAAAAATGCAGATATAAATAAAATATATCTGTAAAATGACAATATGAATAAAGACAAAAAGAAAAATTTATAAAATCGATCAGAAGACGAAACGGGTTGGTAAAAAATTATTTCCCTTTTGTCTTTATTCATATACTAGTTTAAATGCGGCCCTATCGGACGGCATTTAATCTAACTCCTACAGTGGCCTCTTGATTGGGCCTTCATCGCAATAGGTAGGGAAGAGTAGATGTGATAGGCAACAATAAAATCCAGAATTCAAAATTGATTGCTGCATTTAAGTATTGCATTAATATTTAAGCTTACCTTTTAAAAGTTCAACGTTAATTCATCTGTCGTCACTTAATTTAAAGGCAATTTGATGTACGTAGGTCCTTACTTTCCGTACAAACAATTATTTTTATTTCATGGGTGACTTTCGCTGGATTTCGCAATTAATTTCAATTATTCCCAAATTTAATTCCAAGTTCTAAAATTGCTATCGTACAAAAAAAAATCGCCGAAACCAATTGCAGTAATGAAAACTTGAGAATCCAAATGTCATGATTGCGGGTTCAGATTTGGCCTGGAATGTTTTTAATTTGCTCACTGAGTCGACCTGATTCCAAAATGGTATGATGTGTTGGGCTACGGCCTCTAGGAGTAAAGTTGAAAAGTGTGATACAGTGACACACTGACATTCGCATATATATATTCGTAAGTCGCGTGTACGTTTTGCAAGGGAGTGTGGAGATGGCGAATCGACGAGCTTCGAACGGACGGTGAATCTGACAGCACTTCGTACTGATGGAGGTGGTGGTGTCGCTTGTAGCCATTTTTATTGGCTGGATCTGGGCGCTCATTGGCTGAGTGTTGGCTGGGTCAGGTTTATAAAAACATGGTACGCTCATTCAGCATTTCGTTTTGGGACGGTGAGTGGCGTATTGGAGATCGAGGCAAGAAGTGTGGATTCGTTTTGCCTAGTGAACCTATTGGGCTCGTCCTACCTTTCTGTGTGTGCGTCCAACCAATTTTTGAAACAGTATGTGTATATATTGATGTAATAAAAAAGAACAGTTAGGTTAATGAGCTAAAGTTCTTTAGTATTTATGTTTTTATTTAAAAAAAACAGTAAACATCACTTAAGAATGAAACTGTGCCCCAAATTTTAAGTTTAATATTGAAATTAAACTTTATTTCTGTGTCGCGATGGAATCATATTTTTAATGAAAAAAATGATAATTATATATATATATATATATATATATATATATATATATATATTTAAAGGATGAAATAAAGAACAAATAGGAAATTTATATCAATCTAACATATTTCACTTTTATTAAAGCTTCGATTGAGATTGAAAGAAAACAGACAAAAAGCAGAAACATTGGTATTTTCAATTTTGTTTGGGTCAGTTCTCATTGGTCAGACGCGTGTCACGTGCATTAAAACCGTAGATAATTCTCTGTGTATGTAACTTTGTGAAGATTCTTGTATGTCTCTGTGGGCATTGTGTGCAAATGTGTATTCGTAATTGTGTATGTGTGTCTGTCTAGTGGGAGTTCTAATGTCTTCAACTTTCAGTGGTCAAGGCAGCGCAGCGGGGTGCCATATGATTTTAATTTATGGCTGACCTCGTTAAGCTTGTATTCTTTGTATTAGATAGATATAAGTTAGATTCTTTAAGAATGGATTCAAAGAAAGATGTCGATGTAATGTAATTTTTAGGCGTGTGTTTATAGTTGGTAATAATGCTATTATTATCTTTTCAATTTATATTCTCTTTAAAGAATTATGTTCTTTTTTTTAAATTAGGGTGGCATTAGTGAAATGAAAGTTATGTCCAGCATCGTTTTCATGCAAAACAAGAGAGTTAGATCGTTCGTCTAAATGCAAGTTTCTCTTGTTTTCGTAGATGCGGGATTTTAGATCACTTGATGTCTCTCCCACATAGAGATTATTGCAATATAAACATTTTATTTGGTAAATCCTGGTGATTGAATTGGTGTTGGGTTTGCTTTTCTTCCTAATTCTATCTGCGATTGTCTTGGGGGTGGTAGTAACGATCGTAGTATTAGGGATGACTAATTTGTTTGCAAGTTTAGTGGAAAGACTGCTAGAGGGCAGTTTTATGAATTTTTTGTACAATTTTTGTTAGAAGTGTTAATGGTAGTGTCTTTTTTTTCTTTTTGAAGCATTATCCCCTAAAGTAGCAACCATGTCAGCATTATGAATGTCTTTTGCGACGAAAGCCTTTTCTTGCAGGTACTTAATAACACCACAATGACAAATTTTGTCCATTTTCAAGTGAAGTTGCTACTTGGTACTTTTGAAGCTTTCTTTGAACAGTCAAATGTCATTTTACCGGGAACGTGCATGCGAGTGTGAGTGTGAGTGCGTGCGTGCGTGCGTGCGTGCGTGCGTGCGTGTGTATCCGTTTGTGACGATAAAATATTCTATTTCGCTTGAATCATTTATAATGGGAGAAAGTGGCGTAGAATAGGAATGGGTTGAGAGGAGGAAGCGAAAGAAAGAAAGAAACGAAAATGAAGAAAGAGAAGAAGTAAAAGAAAATGAGTAGAAAGAAAAAAGAAAGAAAAGGAAGAGAAAAGAAAAATAAAAATTAGCAGAAAGAAAGAAAGAAAGATAGAATGACAAAAATAAAGCGAAAGAAAAAGGTAAAAGAAAAATCAATAAAAAGGAAGGAAGAAAGAAAGAGTAAAGTAAAAGAAAGAACGAGAAAAAGAAAAAGAAAGAGAGAAAGTAAAAGAAAAATGTGTAGAAAGAAAGAAAGAAAGAAAGAAAGAATGATTTAAGAGAAGAAGAATAAGCAAAAGTCAAAAAAAAAAGAGACATTTCAAGCTTAGCCCAATTCTTTCCAAAAATAAAAGAAGGAATTAGAGCATGAAAACAACAGACTCTCGGGCCATAATTTCAACAAAGAAAATATCTATAAGTATATATATATATACATATATATATATAATTTAATTAACCGAGTTACAGCTATTTACTAAGCATAGATTCTTCTTGTATGTAATTTTTCCTTTCAGAACGTGGGCGATCATGGCTCCCCACAGCTTCCTACACCTTGAGACTCCCTCCTCTTGCCTGATTTATTTTTTAGAGTAAGAGCCCTCCTTGTCTGAACCTTTTACTTCGCTAAGGGAATGTCAGAAGAAAATGAACTTCAACCTTCAGCCTGATGTGTGGGTTAGGGTGGGTGGTGTTTGTGGGTGGTGGTAGGTTGATAAGAAGTCGTCTCTTGCTCCTTCTTTACTCTCTTCGTCGCACCCACCTTCTCTTCTAAGCCTGACTGATTTAATCTATACCAAGATCAAGGTACTAAAGTCTGGTTAAGGTCACCTGGTGACGGCGCAACTGAAAACATTTCGTTTCAAGGGTTTGGGTAGCCAGTAAATGAAGAGAAACTTATAAAAAAAAAAGGATGCGTGGTTGTAGCAGGAAAGAGTGTGGTCTTCTTCATCAATATAACTAAATCTGTAATCTAATCTTATCAAAATTTTATGTGCTTCTCACCCAAGATTATGACCACGTCTCTTTGGATTGGTAAAGTTTCTCATCTTTATTTAGACACTTTGCGGCTGAGACGTACTTCTACCGATGAAGGCTGAGATAAACACCATGAACAAAACGGCTGATTGACGAACGTCGCTAACACTCGGAAAGGCAATTGAAATCTATATCTATAAAACAGAAGATGTCTGTGTGTGTGTGTCTGTGTCTATGTGTGTGTATCCTATTTATGCACGTCTACATTTCTCGACCCATTGCAAACATGTTGTAAATTTACTAACATAGGTCAAGACCAACTTTTCAATCACCAGGTTCCACGGGTTGGTCAGAAAAATCAATAAAACTGAAGGTGGGTACGACTTTGTGCAAAAACTAAGGCAAAGTTACATGTGAACAAAATTTATACTGGATGAGCTGGTGTTCTTTGCACTTAATGCAAAACATCAGATCGTGTTACGAGGTTTATTTAGAGTGTTTGATAGTTAACCATGCGACATTGGCTTTACACAAAAAATTGCAAAAAGTTGGGAAAAAATCGGGTTTTTCGTACTACTGTTATACCGGAACGTACCTATTCTATGTTAAATAGACTCTCCCACAGATAAGTAGTAGTAGTAGCAGTCGCCAGTGAAGCTCAGTGAGTTGTGGGAGTCAGTCGATGTCGGACCTTAAAGTATCAACCATCACAACTAGATTGCTGCGTCATTAACTATTATTTCAAGTTCCTAACGTTTTGTACGTCGAACCTAATTTAGGACCGACTTAGTAAAATACAAGCCTCCACTGTGAAAACTACTCTACAACAAGTACTTAAAATAAAAACTTGAATAACTTCCTCGTTATTTATCCGATTTTCTTCAAATATGTCGTAAAACATTTGCCATCATCAAAGAAATGTGCTAGTGTGGTTTTAGTCCTGCTCGCTTCCCCGCGTATAACGAAAAACCAAGAAAAACTGTTTAAAAAAAGCCAGATGCTTTCCAAATTTGCCATATAAATTACATATGACATAAATTGCCTTGCGCGAATGATTGGTTTAGATTATTTCAATTAACTGGACGAAATCTGCGAGAGACTAGGTCCAAAATCAGCTTTTGTCATTTAACCATTAGTTACTTCTTCTTTCCATCCTAAATTGGCATTCGAATAACCTTTGATGCAAAGATTGTTTGAAATTATTTTGATCAAAAATTTTCAAAATAAATTAGCGACTCTGTTGTCGGACGCAATTTCAGATTGGGCTTTTCTCCCCTCTACACCGGTTTCTTGGTATTTATCGTCGTTCTCTTGTCTTGTATCCGCTTCGTTCGTTCGTTCGTTCTATCACAACTGCGCGTATCGTACGATGTATCCCGACAGAACTCATTCTTTCCTCCAAGATTGTCTCGTTTGACGGAACGAGGCACTCGCCTTCTCTCAAACAGAAGTCGTACATGCCATACCCCAAACGAACTATCTCACTTCGAGACGCTGCCCAAAAATGTTGTTCACCCCTTTCGCACCTCGACTCGTGCTCTGGTTCAATACGTCTGCTACAATTATTGAAGCGTTAAAAGATAAAAATTCCCAAAGAACATCTTATTAACCCCAGCTTTACAGTAAAGATGCGAAGAAGGAGGGGGGCGTTCATGCGTTTGCACTTGCAGTCAAATCAAACTCTGACGCTTCGTCCCTGTTTTTGTTTCATAAGTGTTTTTTCTTTTTAGTGAATTGTTTTTTGATTATTATAGCCTGTGGGCCCCTTTTCTATTTCCCCAATAAATTGATTTCTTGACTTAGATATTCACTTTGTTTTCCCTTAAAAATAGCAAATTTAGCCCGAACATGCTCTATATATATATATATATATATATATATAATGATAATAATGGTAATCATTGTGGATATTTCCAAAAGGATATATATTGATCTAAGGAGAGCTGTATGTCAAAGACAGAGCAATAATTATTATTATAAAAACACGAATTCTTAAAAAGCCCTGAGATTATATTTATTTCATTGAGGTAGGAAAATTGACCTCAACTCTTCAGATCTCGTAATAAAATATTTCTCCAGCCTGAAAAACAAATTTATGTAAATATGCCGATCTAACTTTGTGGAAGGGGAGGAAAAAAGGTTTATATCTAAGATAGTGAAAGGCGGGGTAATGAAAGAGATAGTATGTATTCAGAGAGAGGCGGGGGAATAGAGAAAATATTTAAAAATTGAACGTGGGACGAATGGAGGTTATTTTTATAAACTGGCTTTTGGGGCTGTAGACGTGGGGACCTAATTTACATACACATTACGGAAAGAAATGGTTATATCAGTGAACAATGCCATGCTATTTCAAAGTGATTGCACATTATTAGTAATATTAAAGGCCCCGGTTTCTTCTTTCTTTTTCTTTTTGCTTGCCTTTCTTAAAAAATAAATACATAAGTGCCTTAATCATAACCAGACAGAATATAATTTCGATTGCACACAAAAATATCACTAAATTTCCAACTTTCATTGAATTCCCTTTCATTTCTTTGTCTCTTTATTTTCTTTTCTTTTTATGTATTTTCTATTGTCAACACTGATGGGATTGCAATCAGTAGAGTTATGGGGCCAGACATTGGGGCTGGTGAAGTGGTCAAAATTCTCTAACAACCACTTCAGACTCTTCCTGGAGACGTACCAAGGAGCCGAATCTTGCTGCCACACATATAGTCTTCCAGCAAACAGCCTCACCAACCAAGGCGTGACCACGGTGTTCAGCAACTTCACATAGTCTTCATGACATAAGGAAGGTCATATGGATTACAGGCAAGTCATCTTTTGTTCTGGGTGTTGTGCAGCTGACAAAAATTATTTTCATCGAAGCCAGTTTAACAGCATATTTCAACTTGTTCAGGAGTTTCTTTGTAATGATAATGGACTATTGCATACTTAATACTGCGCCTCAAGAGTAGGCAAGGAGTCAGTCAGTAGTTCACTTCTGAACCGACTGCACGGTTGTACTCTCTTCCTACGGGCGGGAGGAACCCGAAGGAGGCTACGCCGAAGGGCGGAGTCTCCTTCGGGGAGGTAAAACCGGCCTGAACCCGTTTATACAGGTTCAAATGGGCTATTTTTGGCCGAGCCTAATGGCTCAGGAATGCCCCGTTAAAAAAGGCCTTGTGCCACATGACACCCTCGTTGGGGGGACTGAATATCGTCAGTCAGTCGCTCACTTCTGAACCGACTGTTCGGTTGAACTCTCTTCCTACGGACGGGAGGAACCCGAAGGAGGCTACGCCGAAGGGCGGAGTCTCCTTCGGGAGAATGCTTTCAGCCCTGAACCCGTTTATACGGGTTCAATGGGCATATTTACGCCGAGCCCACGGGCTCGGAATGCCCACATTAAAAAGGCCTTGTGCCACATGACACCCTTGTTGGGGGGGAGGGGTGACTCAATATCGTCTGTCAGTCGCTCACTTCTGAACTGACTGTTCGGTTGAACTCTCTGCTTTCGGGCGGGGAGGAACCCGAACGAGGCTACGCTGAGGGGCGGAGTCTCGTTCGGGGAGGTAAACCGGACCTGAGCCCGTTTATACAGGTTCAAAGGGCATATTTTTAGCCGAGCCCACGGGATCGGAGATCCCACGTTAAACCGGCCTTGTGCCACATGACGCCCTCGTGGGGGGGTTGACTGAATATCGTCAGTCAGTAGTTCAAGTCGAGTCAAGAGTCGAGTCAAGAGTCGAATCAGAGGCAGTCCGAAACTGAGTCGCGTTCAGACAATTACTGCAAGACATTGGAATAGTGATACTGGTCGAGACTACATTGTTCTCTCTACTAAACCTGATTGTTCATACTATCACTTCTACTTCTCTGTATATATTCCTGTTTGTAATATATCTGTGTTATTCCATACCTGTGTTCGACTTCTTATTTATTGGTTCTACCTTGGACTATCACCGTGGTACAAGGAACCGGACCATAACACTTTGCCTTTGTCAGGCGGTTTCTCGAGCTTTTTCTATAAGAAGATTACCTTTATACCTCTTTTATGACTGCTCATTCAAGGACAACTTTATGGTAGAAATTACAACACCTACTTCCCTCATTCCCTTGTCTCGGGCTTACATCACTTTCTCCTTTGGATGAAATCTGGTATACGTAGGCAATAAGAACATTTCCTACAAGCCACGGCCTCGTAGTCATTTATTGCTTTCACGATGTTCAAAGAGCATTGAGCAGCTGTCATGTTTGCGGCATTTTGATGCCCATTACGAATCATCATGATGCAGGTTACCCTTTTCCAATATTCAGATGGCTTCCGTTTATCAACGTCAGTTAATTTTTGTCACTCA